CTAGAGAGCAGGAACTGTGTCCTTTTTTATCTTTGTGTTCTTCATAGAATCTAGCAGGGTACCTCTGGTAGAGTAAGTATATTATTAAATACAAATGGAATTGATGGAGGTGCCTGGGTGGCTCAGTCAGTTAAGCGTCTGACTTCAGGCCAGATCATGATCTCACGGTTCGCGGGTTCAAGCCCTGCATCAGGCTCTGTGCTGACAGCTCAGAGCCTGGAGCCTGCTTCTGATTCTGCGTCTCCCTCTCTCTCTCTCTGGCCCTCCCCCACTCATGCTCTGTCTCTCAAAAATGAATAAAATTTAAAAAAAATTTAATGGACTTGATAGATTGTAGTATACCTCTAGAATACAGTATGCCACTAATCAGAACCTAGTATTGTTTCTTATCAGTGTTAGACTATAAACTTTAGTTCCCTCTGCTATAGTGTAACTTATATAACAAGTCCTTCCTTAAAGCCTATGGCTCAATCATGTAGCGGGTCAAAGGTAGTAAGGCAGTGAGAGGCGATGGTTTGTTTTTCTGGGGAGAAAACTGGACTATGTTGATATTTATAAGCATGAGAGAGATGGGACATTGTGTGCTTAGCCCAACTTCCTCTTTTCTAAGAATTTTTTTCTTACCCAATTTGGTAATCCATTTGGCTCAACCCTGCCACCCAGAGGGTGAACTAACGTACTGTCAAGATCTTTAGTCCAAGGATTGTCTCAAAGGCACGGAAGCTTTTTTGAGACCTGAAACCCTAAGTAACAAAGATGATTCTTTGAATGTGAGAAGAAGCAACAGAGGAAGGACTGTGATATTTGTGACTGAGTGAAAGAAACTATATATTAAACCGGTTTTCTATTTTTTTTATCCAGACTGACACTTAACAATACTTTGTTAGTAGCATTTTATAGTGTACATAGAGCTCTTTATACATGTGCATCATTAAGCAATTGTGTAAACATTTGATTCTCACTAAATAGGCAGGTAGACATTTTGCAGAAGAGAATATTGTGATTCAGAGAGCTCAAATGATTGCCTAAGGTCACACAGCGAGGACAAAATTCATCTGACATATATATGGCTGAAAGATCTCTTGAATAGTGCATCTCTGCTCCTTAAAGAAAAGAAAATTCAGGGGGTTGCCTGGGTGGCTCAGTCAGTTGGGCAGCTGGCTCTTGATTCCAGCTCAGGTCAAAATCTCAAGGTTGGTGGGGTTGGGCCCATGTTAGGCTCTGCGCTGGGTGTGGGGCCTGCTTGGGATTCTCTCTCTCTCTCTCTCTCTCTCTCTCTCTTTCTGCTTCTCCCCTGCTTGTGTGTGGTCACTCTCAAAAATAAATAAAACTTAAAAAGAGAGATCTTGCCACCAGTAACAACATAGATGGACAGACAGATTATTATGCTAAGTGAAGTAAGTCAGAGAAAGACAAATACCATATGATTCCACTTCTATGTGGAATCAAAAAACAAAACTAATGAATGAACAAATAAGGAGAAACAGACCCATAAATACCGATGGTTATAAAAGGGGAGGGAGCAGAGATGGACAAAATGGGTGAAGGGGTGGGAGGTACAGGCTTCCAGTTACAGAATGAATAAGTCCCGGGATGAAATTAAAGCATAGGGAATATAGTCGATGATGTTATAATTGTTGTGTGGTGACAGGGGGTGACTACCCTTGTGGTGATCACAGCCCTTACCTATAAACTTGTTGAATCACTGGGTTGTACGCCTGAAACTAATATAACATTGTGTGTCAGCTATATATGCGTGTAGGTATATATGTGTATATAAAATGTTGGCTCTTTGAACCAATAGCAGACAATGATTCCAAAATCATAAGCCCTGTAGTGAACGCAGAGTCCAATTATCTTGCCTGATTTCTCTTTTGCTTTCTCAAAGCCCACCCTCCATTCACCAGTTTTATCTCAGGAAACATATGTAACTTATTTCTTCCTATTGGGAAGGATGATTGATAATTGGGTTTGGGAGTAGGCAGAAAAATTGAGGAAGGCCTTTTATTTTCTAATGCTTTGCCTTCTTTCCTTCTCTAATGCTGGTAGTTTCCTGGCACTGATTTTTGAGAACTGTAATTACCGGACCACAGAAATGATCTGTTTCCTTTAGAAGAAGCATGGGAAGGAATTTGCCATAAAGCATACAAGGTGGGTGAAGCGGGTAGGGATGTGTTCAGTGGACCTCAACTGGTTGAGGTCGCCTCAAGTTTAAGAAGTTTGGGGAGGGAGGCACCTGGGTGGCTCAGCCAGTTAAGCGTCCAACTTCTGCTCAGGTCATGATCTCACAGTTTGTGGGTTTGAGCCCTGCATCAGGCTCTGTGCTGACAGCCAGGTCAGAGCCTGGAGCCTGTTTCAGATTCTGTGTCTCCCTCTCTCTCTGACCTTCCCCTGCTCACTCTCTCTCAGAAATAAATTTAAAAAACACGAAAATTTTTCAAAAATAAATAAACATCAAAAATTTTTAAAAAGAAGTTAAGGGGGAAATCTCAGCACTGGCTAAGGTAGGAATGCCCTCCCTTTTAAAAATCAAAAATAATGTAACAAAATGTAGTTAAAAATCACATCATATTTAGCGCTTACGCAAAAAACATCAATTCTTATGCCCTCCTCCCTCCCACTGAGATGTTCAATAGCATTTCTTCCAATTCTTCTAGCCTGTTTATCTAGTATTCCCTTTATATTTCTAGGTGATACGTTTCTTTTACTTCTTAATTTAGAAATAGTGGGCACAGCTTTTACTTTTTTGTTATAGTAATTGAAGTGTCAGCTGTCACTGCACATTCTATACCTGCCTTCTCTTTCCTGTCACCTCATTTTCCTGAGGGGTAGATCACAGTTGCCGCTGTATCACTAGTCAGTGTTTACATTATTGCCTCTGCGTAAATAATACCCACCGTGGAGCCAGGTAGTGTATTTTCGTTGTTTCGGGTCTTGAACAACCCTTTGTTTGTTGGGAAGTTATAATCATTTATTTAAACCATTTATTGGTACATTGGTACCAATATAGATAGGTACAATTGTGTACCTATCTTCAATTTATTCCTGAAATGCCTATTCTGTCAAATGTTTATGAGAATTTTCTCTCAAATGACCAACCTACCTAATAATCTAAGAAATCCATTTTTCTTTCTCAGGGAGACGTACTGCATCCCCACCTGTCTTTCAGGTCACCACCGCCACCTGCTGGCTGTTGGTGGAAGGAAAAGACGGAATTATGAAGGGCAGGACTGATGTTTTTAAGTCAGAAAATGTCCTTTACTAAAGGGGGCTGACCTTTAGAATGACAAACTGGGGAAGAAATAAAATCATGAAATATTCTCTTTTCCTTGCCCCATTATCCTCCTCTTTTCTTTCTCTAGAAGAAGGAAAGTTTGTTCTAATCTTCCTTAGGTTTTATTTTTTGCTGTTTTGTTTTCTAATCTTTCTTTTGATACTGTGGTCATCCTAAGCCTTTGTCCGATCCAACAAAGGAAAAGGGGAAGATGAGCGACCTGCTTTTTAAAAAAAATTACAGCTTGGGGTGCCGGGGTGGCTCAGGGGGTGACTCTGGATTCTTTGGCTCAGGTCATGATCTCACGGTTTGTGGGTTCGAGCCCCGCATTGGGCTCTGTGCTGATGGTGCAGAGCTTGCTTGGGATTCTCTCTCTGCCTTTCTCTCTGTCCTCCCACCCCCGTTCTCTGTCTCTTTCTTTCTCTCTAAAAATAAATAAACTAAAAAAGTTTTAATTACAGGTTTATTGGTTATACCTGATGTCTAATAAACTACACATATTTAAAGTATATACAGTCATGGATTTTGACATATGTATACCCAGGAGATTGTTACCACAATCAAGTTAATGAACATGTTACTCTCAAAATTTCTCTTGCCCCTTTGTAGACCATCCCTTCCCCCTTTCACCCATTCCCAAACTATGTATCAGTTTGCATTGTATAAAATTTTATAAAAATGGAAGCACACTGTATACACTCTTTTGTTGTTGCTGTCTGGATTCTTTCCTTGCATGATTATCTTGAGATTCATCATGTTATTATATGTATTAGTAGTTTATTTCATTTTATCGCTGATATTCTGCAGTACGGATTAATACAACTGGTATGTCCATTCATCTGTGAATGGCCATTTGGGTTGTTTCCAGTTTCTAATTTTGTTGGTCATTACAGAGAAAAAGGTAACGAACATTTGTACACAAGTCTTTGTGCTGATGTGTTATCATTTCTCTTGGATCAATACTCAGGAGTAGGATGTTTAGATCATACGGTAGTTGTATGCTTGACTTTAAAGAAATTGCCAAACCATTTTTATAAAGTGGTTGTACCATTTTACATGTGCACCAGCAGCTTGTGAGAGCTCCGCTTCTTGCCAACACTTGATATGGTCAGTCTTTTTAATTTTAGCCATTCTCATGGTTGAGTAGTGTTTTCTCATTGTGACTAATATGACTTGCATTCCCTTCATGACTAATGATGTTGAGCATCTGTTCATGTGCTTGTTTCAAGCTACCCATTTTTAATGTTTTGTTTTTTGTTTTTGTTTTCTGAGAGAGAGAGATACAGGCGCCCCATCAAGCTACCCATTTTTAAATACTTCCTTGTAATAAGGCTTAACCTTACATTTGGGCAAAGGAAACAGTGTTACATGACAGGTGCCATGGAAGAATCTCATTCACCACTTGGCTATGAAATTCTTAACTGATTTGAAATTCCCACACCTGAGAGATAAAGTTACTCTTTTGAGTTAAGAGAACCAATATAAGGAGCACTTTTTTAAAATTATTTTTTTTAATGTTTATTCATTTTCAAGAGACAGAGCATGAGCAGGGGAGGGGCAGAGAGAGGGAGACACAGAATCCAAAGCAAGCTCCGGGCTCTGAGCTGTCAGCATAGAGCCCGACACTAGGCTCAAACCCATGAACCATGAGATCATGGCCTGAGCCAAAGTCAGATGCTTAACCAACTGAGCCACTGAGGCGCCCCAGAAGCACTTTCTAAAGAAAGATTTTTTTGAGGAAAAAATGAAGGGACAGCCTTCGACACCGTCATCTCCCCCATTCTCTTCCAGTAGAACAGATGGCTTTCTAGATTCGCTGCAGGTCATTTCAGAAAGCGTGGAGACTGTGCTTTGGGGGAACAGCAGAGTGGCTGTAGTCCTTAGAGGAAACAGAGGAGGGAATAGGGGATGAAGACGTGCAAAGAGATTTGAAATGGCAAAGCCTGGTAAGCACTGGGAGGATTCAGGGGGTTTATGATCAGGTGGGTGATAGAGAAGAGGAAGTGCAGTGTGAACACCTGATTAGGCCAGGAAAGGCAGACCCTACACAATGGCGTACCTGAAGGGGGGGGGACAAAGACCAGAAACTGGGGACATGCTGAATATAATCGTTACCATCTTCATAGATTTGTTTGAGTAGCACCCACTACTTTAGAACATCCTGGGCTAGAAGAGCTTCTATTCCCAGTGTTCTCTCCTACAAACTAGATTCCTTCAACTTTGGGCTTCTGCTCCTCCTCTCTCCAGCCCTCCAAAGTCACTTGTGGGGTTGGCAGCCATGGCCACAGCTCCACTCCCTTGCCCACCTCCACACCCATCTTTAATGGCCCTCTGTTTCCTTGACAACACAGCGTAGTGATTAAGAGTTAAGGCTCTGGAGCCCAACTGCCTGGGTTCAACAATTATTGTCAATTAATTAATTACTGCTCAGCATTTATTAGCTGTCTGACTGTGGGCAAGTTGGTTAATCTTGCTGTGCCTCCATTTCCTTATATAAAAGTAAAAATGAGAATATTACCTTCCTTAGAGAGCTGTGAGAATTAAATGAATTTATATTTTTAAAATGTTTAGAACATTGCCTGGTAGGTTTTAAGCTCTAATAAGTGTTAGCTATTAATTTAAACTCCGTGGACCCACTTTCAAGATGCCTGCAATTTGGCCTCTGTCCATCTACCTTTCGATGCCATTACTTCCTATCTACTTCATTTGGGTTTTGCTGGTTTCCTTGCTGAATCATGAATCTATGCATAACTCCAAATGGTTTCCATTGGACCCAGAAGGTCCTGAACAGTTCAAATCCTATCCAATCATCAAAGATCACTTCAAATCCCATCTCTTCTATTATCTCTTATTATTATTTCCTTAGTTCGAATCAACTATCTTCCCCTCGGAATTAATAGCCTATAATTATCCCACTAATAGCCTATAAGCATCCTGAGGGCAGAAATAATATCTGATACTTCTAGGCCATCTTTCAGTGGAGTGAATACATTGCCTGTACTCCATTTCAAGCATCCGTAAAGAGATTCCTCATAGGCAACAGAAGACAGTGTGAAGAATTCATAGCTTTAGTAACAGATTGTTTAGGGGTGGGTTGCTAGCTTCTTTCCTTTCTGCGCCATCCTCCAAAGGCCGAGATACCCTCCTCCTAAGACCCCCCCATGACCCCTGCTTCATTTCTGAACCGAGAAAGCAGGACACCTCTTACCCACTTATATTAGTCAAATAAATCCCATCTTTAATCATTTCCTCCTCTTTCCATTTTCCAAGAGAAAAATATCATTAGATCTTTGAATCTCTCATAGATAGCGATCACGTTTTCCTCTTTCAAGTCTTTCCTCTCAAAAGTCTAAACCTTTAAGTGTTCTCCTGGTCATCAGGACGCCTATAACCTCTACATTTGTTGGGGGTGACTTCAGGAGTAGATGGACTAGAATAGTTTGCATATCATAACGGACTGGGAAAATGGAGAAAGAGCCCCCACAGAGGTCTAGACTGCAGAAGCTTTGTCCAGAACCTTTATTCCATGATCATTTCAGTGCAGGACTGCAGCCTTATCTGACTCTGGTTAAATGTCATCATTTCCCTTGTCTTCTAATGACTACTGTTTCCTCCCATGATTCCCTGCGTTCTTCTCTGCCAGTCTCTATGCCCAGATCATTTCCAAACCAGTCATGGGGTCGCGGGCCGTGCTACTGAGCGCAAAGCCACAGAACAAAGAGCCCGGAAACGAGTGGGGCTGGGAGGGTTCCTGAGGAAAGAGGAACCCCGGCATCCGAGGGGAAGAGGTGTAGCGTTTCTAAGTCTGGCAGGAAGGCTCGGGCATCCTCCAGAGCTTCCTGAGCCGCCACAGTGAAGTTGGGGTCACCGGAGATCAAAACATCAAAGACACACGAGTGGAAATAAGCGTCTTCCACTGGCAGCCCTTCCTTGCACAGCCGCCTGGCGGTATCCACGGTCAGAGCTCCCCGTCGACTGCGCTCCGAGCGAGAGAGTCGCTGACTTGGGGGGCACCCCCCAACACAGAGCTGGAGGTCCTGCTCGGCCGAGAAGGCCCGGGCCACGTCCTCTGCTACCTTGATGGAGAAGGACAGCTGCCCAGCTGTCTGCCGAATGATTATGGTTGTACCGATATAGGCGGCTCGGATCTCCACGTGGGTCCCAGGGTCGGCAGTTCGAATGGACAGGCTGGAGCCCCCGGGGCGGTCACCTCCATTGACGGACCCGTCTTCAAAGGCTGCCGGGAGGTTGCCCACCTCAGCCTGGTACACCTTCTGATCAATGCACTCCTGCATGTTCTTAAATATAATGGTGAGCTGTGAGGGCAAGAGAGAAGACAGTTCATTTGGGGCCGAGTGCCTGCACCCCTCGGCCATGAGGCCTCCCCCTCCCCCCCTCCCCCAACCCCCAACCCCCAGTCAGGGACCTGATCTGGGCAGAGACGCGGAGGCCCTCACTCCGATCCCTTCCCTGCTCGACCCCTCCCCCGCCTTTTTGGTCTCACTCTCAGCCACTCACAGAAGACAGTTTCCCTTCTGTAACGTCTCAACTTAGGGCTCCTCAGCTCTCCGCTCAATGTTCTCTGGTATTTTCTGCATTTGGGTGCAACTCTTAAGGAGCGAGGGCAGGGGAGGGGGGAGGGGCGGGAGGCGCCGGAGGTGGGGGGGAAGGACTAGCGAGCGTTGCTGTGCCACCGTGGGGGGATGGGAAGGAGTAGGCACCATGGGTGACCACGGGAGGGTCTGGAGTTGCTGCTGAGTCCCTGACCTTCCGGGTGGCGGTGGCGTTGGCTCCCGACGCCACGGGGGAGCTGGTGGCCTGGACAAAAAGGAAGTCATTATCCAGGAGGGGCCAGGCTCCTTGGACACGGCACGTGTGGAAGTGATGGTGAAAGCTGCGCACGTGGGGGTCCCCGAAGGAGGCGCAGTGCAGGAAGCCTGGGGGACGGCTGTGCAGCCGGGCAAACTGGCCCTCGTAGTCACAGGGGTCCGGGGCCGGGGTGCCGGAGGAGCGGGCGGGGCCTGCGCCTGGGAGGGCGGGGCCGCGCGGCGGGGGCGGAGCCGTGGGGCCCTGGCGGGAGCAGTTGTGCTGGATCATCAGGTCCTCGATGCCGTGCACCGCCGAGTGGAAGGCCAGGTCCCCGCGGCAGGTGCGGGCCGTGCGCCGGGTGCAGAGAGCGTAGGAGCGGAGGGCTCGACAGAGGCCGCCAGAGCCCCCCCCTCCACCCCGGCCCCCTCCTCCTGCTCCTCCTCCTCGCAAGGCTCCCGGCGAACCCCCGCCTCTAAGGCTCAGGGTGGACGATACATACTCGGCATTGCAGCGGAGTATCTTGCATTGAGAATGAGCTGAGGATGAAGGGAGAGGGCTGTGAGACGGCCCCTGGATCCCCGCTGAACTCTCCCAAAACGGATGACGGGGGTTCCAGCTGTTCCCCAAACCCGACTGATCCCCAGGTTCAGTCCCGTCCTGGCCTCCAGCCCCCCAGCTCCCTAGTCCTGGGTTCGCTCAGTCTTGCTAAAAATGTGTTTGCCCGCTAGATCTCTTCTCCCTGTACATTACGCGCTTTTCCAGTGCTCTTCCCCAAGGCGAATGGGAAATTTAAAAACATATCGGCTTGAGAGTCCGGCGCGTGACTGGAACGCCCCAGCACCCCTCGCTTGTCCTCACCCACGCTCACCTGCCCACCCCTTGCACAGCAGCAGGCCCTCCAGGTTCCCCAGCCCTTCCGTAGCCCTTCCTTACCATGTCCACAGAGGAGCAGCAGGAGGGTGAGAGTGCTTAGAGTTGGGGGGCTGCCCTGGGGGGACCGGCCTCGATCCCCCATACCTATCCGGCCAGGTCCCCCCAGGCTCCGGCTCTTTCCAGCTGATGACCTTCCTACCTAGTGAATTTTGACCGGACTTCCTGTAAGGGACTGAAAAAAGAGATGTGGCTGGGCATGGGAAGAGAGAAGAGTTGAAGGTCATTCAGGATGATGTGAAGAGACTCTGGGAAGATCAGGAAGAGGACTAGCAGCTGGAGTCTGGGGAGAATGGGGCTCCCCACACTGTAAGTGTGGCTGTTAAGCCTCTGTGTCCTGCTCTTGTGGCCACTTTCAGGTCCCTTATGCAATACCCTGAGGTGGGGGTGGAAGGAAGGTTGACTAGACTGGGGGGGGGGGGGGGGTAGAGCAGAGTCCACTGTATTGCCCCATGCTAAGCTATCAAACAGCAGAAGTGTCCAAAAGAAAAAAGAGGGATCGTGGGGTCGGATCAGACTCCAGTCATCCCAGTGGGTTCCTCATTAGAATTAGGATCCGAAATGACTTCAGTATTTGCCCCTCCCCATCTGGAGGTGACACCCTCCAGGGGTCATTCATTTGTCTTCCTCCTTTGCGTCAGGATTTTTTTTGCAAGGAGTGAGGGCGGAATTCCCATCTCTCTCTGGAATCTGAACATCTTTACATGGAAAGGGACCGATCTCTTTCATCAACTGAGAGAGCTAAGATTCTATAAAATCCTTCTCTCTCATGAAATAACAGGATGCAAACCAAGCATGCAAACCAATATTTGTTTGTGCTGCGTCAACAGTTCTTGTATTTTTTTTTTTTTTATTTTGCCAAACCTGACTGAAGAACCACTCTTTTCATCAGTCTTCCCTTTGCAAATTCAGAAGTTCTCAGTCCTTTGCTGAGGACAGGGCTTTGGGGAGGGGCTGAATTTCTCTTGCCAAACTCCCCTTTCTCGGGGTGAGGGTATGACTGAGGTAAGAGTCATGCAGGAGGGAGAATAGGAAGGTGAGACTACAGTGTGGGAATAAGTCATTTACAAGCAATAGCCCCCAGCCTTGGAAGGCCAGTGTGAAGGGCACTGCTGAGTAGAGGCAGGGTGGAAAGCCATCAGTGACTAATCATCTGAGGCTAAATTTGGCCTTGGTGAGAAAACCACAGAATAGGGGATATGGGAAACTCCTCAAACTTCACCAAGAGTCTGAGGCAACAGGGTAAGGAGAGAGCTAAAAGAGCCAGAGGAGAGATGGAAGACTAAACTCTAAGAGGCCAGTGGCCATCAGCCAGAAAGAAATGAGACAGGAGGAGAAATGGAGACGAGTCACTTTGGTATGAAAGAGATCCTAGCTTTTGGCCCAGAGAAATTCAAGTAGGTGTCGTAATTTTATGAAAGTCTAACTTCATTCCAAAAGCGTATTAAAGGCATTGCAGTTTCATTTCGACTTACTGTTTCCAGGGGTCAAACATTACTCTGATATCCAATTCTCCAGCCATGACTGCCTACTCTGTCGGTCAGCTCCGGCCAGGGGATCCCCGTCTCTCTCTCCATGTCTCCCCCAGGTCCCCAGACCGGCTGCAGTCTCACTGAGGTCAGGGAACCAGAGAAGGTTTGGTGTGGGGGGAAGGTGGAGTAAATGGTTGGCCAGAGTACTGGACAGCTGAGCGGGGGAGGGAGGTGGCTACTGAGTTGACTGTTTTAAAAATAGTTAAGTCCAAAATCCCAGGAACGTTAGTGGGGGTAGGGTATGGGGGGGGAGAGTAGAAGGATTAGAAAGAATATAGAACATAGGGTGCCAAGTGGGGAAGGGGGGAGAGAAATCTCATAGGCAAGTCAGATATCCACTTGCAAGTTATGTGACTCTACTCCAGGCAGCCCTCCAGCCTTCTCAGTAATGAGTTCCCAGCCTTTAAAAACTAGAGTGGGATATTACATACCTTGCTTTCACCACCCTCATCTCTGCTATGTTGAATATTGCCTTCGGTTTCTACAGAACATATCTAGGAGGTAGCCAACTTTAAATAAGGTCCCTAGCAGAGGTCGTTCTCAGCCCCTCCCCCATCTGTGTGGAGTATTTCAGAAGAACTAAAAAAGCCAGCTGTCCAGAGAAGAAATGTGAGCTCTGAGTTGCTTTGCTTAGGACGAGTTTGTTTCAGTCCACCGGTTCAGAGCCTTGCAGCTGTCTATCCCCTGACCTCCTCCATTTCATTCCCTTAGTTTATATAGCAATGCCTTCCCCCTCCATCTCACTGATACACGCACAAAATATAAGCTCCTGAGTGGTTAGGGGAGGGGGCTAACAAAGGCAAAGAGGTGAAGAAGGAATACGGATAGAATTTTTGAGGATTACTCATCCACAGAGGAGGGGGACTTGGAGAGATAAACTGAGAGACAAAGAGATGCCGAAAGATACTTTGGTGGAGTAACATAATCTTGTGACCTTTTAAGATATTGCAAGGAAGGATTTAGCCATGTTGTATTTTTGCAGCCATAGGCATCTGGGATCACCACCTCTTATACTTGCCAGGTGAAGTGAACACAAAAGCTGATTCCAAATAGTGCTACTAAGGCATTTGATCAATTGGCTTTGCATCTAATTCAGAAGCTAGAGGTCTACACAGTATGCAGATATTTCTTCATTATTATTATTTTTTAAGTTTATTTATTTATTTTTGAGAGATTTTTTATTATTTTTTCAAGTTTACTTATTTATTTTTTTAACTTTTTAATTCATTTTTGATAGAGAGAGAAAGAGAGAGAGAACGTGAGCAGGGGAGAGGCAGAAAGAGAGGGAGACACAGAATCTGAAGCAGGCTCCAGGCTCTGAGCTGTCAGCACAGAGCCTGACCTGGGGCTTGATCCCATGAACCGTGAGATTATGACCTGAGCCAAAGTCGGAAGCTTAACTGACTGAGCCACCCAGGCACCCCTACTTATTTATTTTTGAGAGAGACAGAGACTGCATGTGTGGGGGAGGGGCAGAGGGAGAGAGAATTCCAAGCAGGCTCCACAAGGCCAGCACAGAGTCTAATGTGGGGCTTGAATTCATGAAACTGTGAGATCATGACCTGAGCCAAAAACCAGAGTCTGATGCTTGGGACGCCTGGGTGGCTCAGGTCATGATCTCACGGTTCGTGGGTTCGAGCCCCGCATCGGGCTCTGTACTGACAGCTCAGAGCCTGGAGCCTGCTTCAGATTCTGTGTCTCCCTCTCTCTCTGACCCTCCCCTGCTCATGCTGTCTCTCTCTCAGAAATAAATAAAACATTAAAAAGAAAAAGAAGAGTCTGATGCTTAACCGACTGAGCCACCTGGATGCCCCTATGCATTTATTTCTGAAAAATTCAGATTTCTCTCAACCACATGAGTCCTAGCCCAAGGTTTTAGTTACAAAAATGTCAATAGCCCCCAACCAAACTATTCAAGTGATTTTAAAACACAATAATCTGGGGCACCTGGGTGGCTCAGTTGGTTAAGCATGGACTTGAGCTCAGGTCATGATCTTACGGTCAGTGAGTTCGAGCCCTGCGTCGGGCTCTGTACTGACAGCTCAGAGCCTGGAGCCTGCTTTGGATTCTGTCTCCCTCTCTCTGCCCCTCCCCAGCTCATGCTCTGTTCTCTGTCTCTCGAAAATGGAAAAAAAAAAAAAAAAACAAAAAAACACCATAATTTGACTGCGGAACCGCAAGTGGGATCTACTCTAAGGACAAAAAGAAATGCAAAAATATTTTCAAGTAGTGATACTGTTAGTGTTCGTGCTGTTATTCTGCAACCTTCACGTGTGTGTGTGTGTGCGTGTGTGTGTGTGTGTGTAATAAAACAAATGGGTATTAATACCACTGTCTTTGTGAATCCAGGAGTCTTGGTGTAGAAGAAAGAGATACAGATTTATCAGTGATGAAGTTAAATAAAAATTCTGTAGTTCTGAATTTAAATTGGAAATACAACTGTGAACTTAAGGCATATTTTATCCTAAAACATTTCCTAGCTTCATGGCGAAAAGGCCTAGCAACAATAACCCAGTGGCAATGACACCCCTACGTTCAAACTGAGCCTTTGGAACACCATTTCCCACCGACAGGAGCTCGTCAGAGAAATGGATGACTTCAGGTGTGGGTCAGGAATTGTCCAAGATAAGCAAGGAAACCTTCAAAAACTACTAGGATTGTATCAAAAGGACTCAGAAGCAACTAGAATAGGTGCCACTGGCCAAAGACGGGACAATTTGAGTATCAAAATGGATACTATCTGCGTATTTGACATGTTCAACTATCACATTTGTATCAAATATGTTTAAATCTGTGAGTTCCCAATGATATTTAAAAACACAAACTCTTGAGAACAAACTGAGGGCAGATGGGGTGGGGGAGAGGGGGAGGGGGATGATGGGCATGGAGGAGGGCACTTGTGGGGATGAGCACCGGGTGTTATATGGAAGCCAACTTGATGATAAACTATTTAAAAATTTTTTAAAAAATAAAAATGAAAACACAAACTCATTGGAGAATGGTAGGGGATCAACTCATTATTTTGAAAACTGCTAGTAACTGGAAAGAATCAAGCATTTATCCTGTTTTTCCTGTGGAAATTCTAGATGAGTGGGGAATTTCTCTTTATAGAAGTTTTCCAGCAAATAAATGAAGAAGGAAGGGCATAATTAGAAAACCACCACTTAGAATTAATGTATGTAGGCAAAGATCAACAATTCGGCATGAAAGGAGAGAAACATTATGTTCTCCAGAGCATGGGTGGAGTTCAAAACGCCACCTATTCTTGCAAAAAAAAAAAAAAATGCCCTTTCAGTCTGGATCTGATCTAGTGTAGGGATACCTACTAATTTACAGGAAGTACAGGTGATACCAAATGATACCTCGGAGGCGCAAATCCAGATTGTGGGAATACACTGCAAAACAAATGACTTTGTCTCTCTAACAAATTGAAAAAGAAGAAAGAAAAAGAAAATTGGAGAGAGAACTTACACATTAAAAGAGACCCAAGAGACGTCACGCAGTTTCTGAGGATAGATTTTATTGGATTCTAATTCAAGAAAACAAACAAAAA